CCACTACCTCCCCCTAACCCCTACACCCAGACCCCCTTACCCGGACTAAAAAAAAAACTGTAATTTCAAATTTCTGTTTTTTTTTCATTTTTATGCCCCCTCCCTCTCCCCCCTCCCCCTCGGAAAAAGAAATATTTTTTAAATATATTTTTCAGTTTTAGTTTTTTTTATCGGTTTAAAGGTTCAAAATTTTACAAGTACCAAAGTTATGAGTTCGGAGGTTTATTTGTTTGGAAGTTTACGGGTTTAGAAATTATAAAGTTTACGGGTTCGAAATTCCGCGGTTTCGAAAGTTTATGAAATTTGTGAATTCGGAAGGTTGTTGGTTTGAAAGTTTATGGCTTCATGTTTATTATATCTAAATTATTTATGAATACTCTCGAGAAGTCATTTTTCTTAATTTGCGTACCAAACACCGGAAAATGAATAAGATCCCTACTTGTTTTTCAAGAAAACATTTTCTTGGAAAACATTTTCCATGGAAAATATTTTCCGTTATACCAAACACACCCTAAATCACGCGTCAAGTGTCCTAATTGGTCCCTATCCCTTTCTTTCTTATGCACGTGCGAAGCTTTGTTCTACCCAGCCCCTCTATAACATCATCCCTATATAATAATCATTCCTTATTAGGGGTGTTCATGGTTCGGTTTGGGTCGGTTTTTCCTTAAAAAGAAACCAAACCAAGTAAGTCGGTTTTTCAAATATTAGAACCAAACCAAACCAATTAAGTCGGTTTTTATCGATTCGGTTTGATTCGATTTTTGTCGGTTTTTCAGATTTTTCGATTATTCATCGGTCTTTTTCTTAAATATGAGACATACACTACCAAACGCATACTCTTGTGACTACATTTTCAACGTAACACTATCAAATCAATTGCTCTTTGAAAAATCCATCATTTACCGGATATATTGATGATAATTGAATCAATTAGTGATGAATAATTAAAGTACTCAATTAAAAATTAATTATTTTAACATGAAATAAATTCTTGTACTTAGGAAAAAAAAGCTACCAATCAAACTAAAATGTAAAGGCAAAGAATTAGATTATTATAATAGCAAAGAACTAGACTAAAAATATAAATGACTTATATGTACCATAAAATTTTAGAAATTTTATATGAAAATATACATATATATGTATAGGTATAATAATAAATTTAAATAGCTACTTTTATAGTCGATTTGGTTCGATTTTTCCGGTTATTTTTTGACTAAAACCAAAACCAAACCAAATTTGATTGATTTTTAAAATTTAAAACCAAAACCAAACCAAACCTAAAAAGTATCGGTTTTTTTGGTCAGTTTGGTTCGGTTTTTCGGGTTTTTATGAACACCCCTATTCCTTATAAAAGTCAAGTTATATTTACCTCTCTATAAAAACCTAATATAACAACAACATCCATATTTATATCTCTTTGTAAAATTATCCCTCTATTACAGACATATAAAATCTTTAAGTTTACTAATAATAATTCTAATATATATACACACGATCTTTTCCATTGAACAAAGATTCTATTTTGCGTAAGACATAAGATTTGAAGATTTGCACTTGATATCTTTTTCATTGGACAAATGCCAAACAATATTTAGATAGAAGATTTCAATGTTAACCTGTTAGATTGTCTTCAAGGGAAAGCTATTGAATACCTTTTTTGTTGAAAATTTGTATACGAATCTTCGCGAATGAAATCTACAAACAAGCTACAACTACAAAAATTCTTCCACTAATCTTGAAAGACTTTATTTTTCTAAATAGCTTTAATATGTATGCATTAGAGTTTAAATATTTATACGTTTAATTATGAATTTATTAATAACGTATTAGTTTTCTTCAATATTTAACTAGTGAAATATGCATATCTTTTGACATTTTAATTTGAATAATTTTCTTATCTTTTATATGTAACATTAGAAAAGGAAAAATAATTGATTTTTGGATAATTCTTATAACGACCAAAAAATATTTAAATAGATAAGAAAATTGTTCAAATTTTAAATCTAAAAAAAATATGCATATTTCACTAGTTAAATATTGAAGAAAGCTAATACATTATTAATAAATCCATAACTAAACGTATAAAGATTTAAACTCGAAGATAGACATTTTAAAGCTACCTAGAAAAATAAATTCTTTCAAAAATGATAGAAGAACTCTGTAATTGTAGTTTTTTTCGTAGATTTCATTCTCTTACTATCAACATAACGCTTGAATTGGCAAAGATTCATGTCCAAATTTTTAGCAAAAAAGTATCTAATAACTTTCCCTTGAACACATCTAAGAGCTTAACAATTAAACTATATATATATATATATATATATATATATATATAATATATATATAAAAGAATTTGTCCAATGAAAAAGATATCATATGCGAATCCTCAAATCTTATATCTTATGCAAGATAACAACATTGTTATTCTTAATGATTCTATATTGCTGTTATAGAGGGGTAATTTTACAAAGAGTGTTCTGCTATAAATATGGCTATTGCTTTTATAGGTAAAAATCTATTATAGAGAGGTAAAATATAATTTAAAAATTTGATTATGAGGAAAACTTGGTTTTTATAATAAATCACTGTTATATATGAATGTGTTTTATAGTGATGTCTGACGGTATATGCTTTTTCAGAGTGACGATTTTAAAAATGTTAGAATAATTGTGTAATGTTTTTTTGGTTGTAATAAATAAATTTTCAAGTTCAAGTTGAAATAACGAAATTATTTATGACCCTCAAATTTCTCATAATTATACAATCATCCCTAAATTATCCATCGCGTGAACAGAGCACTCCTTTTTTTGGGGGCAAAATGGCTTTAGAAACACATAAACTTGTACCTGTTTGTCATGCCGGTATATAAACTTAAAACTTTTCATTTAAACACTTCAACTCATAAATTTGCACAATATTAAACCCTTCCGTCCATCCGACCATAGCGCGTGTATTACAAGTATACAGACGTGGGCATCTAATCAGCAAAAACCCACTAAAATTGCTACACGTCAGGGGCGCCAAACCACCCCCCCTATAATTTTTTAAATCCTACTTTTTATTTTTTCTCTCTTTCTTCTCACCATAGCTCGCCAAACTCCATCACAAGTGAGAACATGTTCTTCAGTTATCTATAATAGAGCAAGAAGGGACAAGAATAAGCAAATAATGAAAAGAACCAGCGAAGAATAACTCTCGCCCATGGCTCTAATGGCTTCGAACTCTTGAATTTCTTGTAAATTTATAAGTGGGTCATTGGGTTTAAGAATGTTGGAGATGGGTTTTAACTAATCTTTGTTTTGAGTACAAAAATTACACCTATTGGAATAAAGTAAAGAATTTCAGAACATATTGCCCCCATTATTACTACAACTTTTGACTTTGAATTTGATGTGCGTTTGAGGTTTATTTCAGCTACTGTTGCTCCATAGTTAGGGTTTTGCATTTTTTATGGAAATATGTGAATAAATGGGGGGAAGAGGATTTGGAGGAGAAGGGAGCAACGGAGTGAGGGATTGGAGAAGATGGAGGAGTTAGAGGGATCGAAGGCACAGAAGTAAGGAAGAAAGAGAAGAGGGAAGGGTGACGGAAGAAACGAGAGGTTTGGACACCTCCTCCACCCCCCTTTTTTTTTGTCCTTTTGTTCTTTTATCAACTAAAAGATCAAAAAAATTATATTTATGCGCCTTATAGCAGTGATGTGCACGCATTGTTGTCATGTGAGCTACATTTCTTTCACATAGGTATGATTAACGGTCAAAGTGATTTATAATATTCATTTCATCAAGTAAGAGTGATAAAATAGGAAAATTCTAAGTTTATGCTGTCCATGTATTCATCAAAGTTGATGCATTTCTAAAGATTACCAGGTTCTGATTTTATGTTGTTTATAATGTCAATTGTGGACTGAAATATACTTAGACGAAAGAATGTTGTAACATAATTGGGGTTGTTCTAACTATTTATTCCCACTATATGCTAATTTTCTGTTAAATTATCTATAACTCAGGGCTGCAAGCCTCCACCGAATGAGGTAACTGGTGCTTCGACGAATATCAGTGCATGTTCTTCAGTTCAGCTTAGCCCCATGTCATCTTCCTTCCCCAGTCCCGCACCTTCTTATCATGTCAGTCCTACAGCATCCTCATTTCCAAGTCCCTCTCGCTGTGAGGGAAATCCACCACCATATATCCTCCCTTTTATCCATAATTCAGCTGCCATTCCGTCTTGTCTGCCTCATCCTCATATATCTAGCAGTGCTCCTGTCACCCCACCTCTTTCTTCTCCTACTCGGAGATCAAAGCCGAAACCTGTATTGGAATCTCTATCAGCTAGTGCATTGCGTTCTTTCTGTCATCCAATTTTCGCTGTTTCTGCACCGTCAAGTCCTACCCGTCGCCAACATTCTAAACCTGCTACCATTCCAGAATGTGACGAGTCTGATGCCTCCCCAGTTGAGTTTGCTCATCGGGTTAGCTCCAAGATAGTGGCACCTTCAGCAGCTCAAACTTCGCCTACTTTTAACCTTGTTAGACCCATTTTTCAGCAGAATGTCCTCCTAGATGCCTTGAAAGGGCGTGGGGAGTTTGGTTGTGGAGAATCAGCTCAAAGGGGACATGGCTCTGAGTTTGATTTTGGAAGTGGAAAAGTTATGGCATGGGAAGGCGAGAGAATACATGAAATTGCGGTGGATGATCTAGAGCTCACTCTTGGGAGCAGAAAAGCAGGTCCTTGAGCTATTGATAAGATTCAAGTTAGATGAAGGATTAGGAATATGTAAGAGCTCTTATGTCTTCATATCCGCAAAGTTCCAAGTTATGGACAAGTCATCAGAATTGTGTAAGATATTCCCCATTGTGCCAAATTACTTGGATGTCACTTGTAAATTCTCCCACTACACATGAATTTGGGTCTTCTTGTAAATCTCAGCTGCACAGTTCTCTGCTCAAGGAATCAATACATGAAGTTAAGTTATCGATCGAGTTGATTGTTAAGAGCAGCTTGGAGCCAGATCGCTCCAGAGCACTGCTAAGTCAAATCTGACAGAATGGAAGCAAAAGAGTAATCCCTCTTTGTTTCAGGAGCTCTCTCTTTCGGTATGCAACTTTGGTCAGAGAAATAATTGACCCTGTTTGTTATCTGTATTTGGCTAGCTTTGCTAGATCCTCATATGAACATTGTATTATTGTGAAATTATGTGTTTTCTAGACAAGTTCATCGAAACATAAACACAACTTAGAGCTTAAAGGAATGAGATGTGATATGCAGTTTGAACTACATACAGTATATGTGCAGCTCATTGGGCCAAAGTTTCATTACTGCAAAATTGAATGAAATTAAGCTGAGAAGCAACAGAATTTCTTCGCAATGTTATGTCCTTTTTTTTTTTAGCAATGTTATGTCTTTCATTCTTCTTTCGGAGATTTAATTTCCCATGTTATATACTTAAATGGGCTCTTCATAGGCATATCGGCCAAGGTCTAATTCTGTCACAAAATATTTTGGTGCTAAAAATGGCTGTGCGAGATCACCCTATGCAGTTACTCCTACTGTCCTACAACACCTCTTGTCATTGCATATGGGAGCTGTTGGGTTTTAGTTCAGAAAGAGAGTGACCAAGAAATGGAGGAAAAAATGAAATTTTTGAAATTACTAATTAACCACACCATGGAAATTAAAATAACTAATTGAACGCAGGCTTATCCTTCTTGATTTTTTAACCAACAACAAGCATCTTTTATAGGAGTATAACATTAACTATTTCTGAGTTGTAGATTAGGAAGATTTAATGAACACACGGCGTAAATAAATCTAGTGCCGCATTTTTCAAGTGCAATACAAATTTCAAGGGATTTTTACATTCCTATACCATATAGGAAACCTTATTACCCTCAATATTTAAGGTTTGATATAATTACATTTAGTATACCAAATTACCAATTCTATACCATAGTGTATTTTAAGGGTACAACTAATGCAGCGTATATCCCTCCTTAATTCAAGGTACCGTATATCCCACCCCTCCCACGTTTCTCTCTCCCAAACCCTCACCCACGTTTTAGTGAGGGATTTCTTTTCTTCATGCCCTCTTTTTTCCTTCATATGTTTTTGGTTCAGATACCAGGAGAATCTTTGACACCAGTACTTCTACATATTTAACTTGTAACATGGTCTGTTAATACTAAAATTAGAACTGTTCACTAGGCGTTCGGTTCTTTGAAATCTGTGTAGCTTATCAGTTCAGAAATTGATTCCTGGGCTTCCAAAATGAGCATTGCTTTACGTTTCAGTTGTGTAGAATAGGTATGGTTGTAATTCAAAAAGTATGGTTGTATTGTATGAAGGGTAATATGCAAACTATGAATACTTCTTTGAAATTCAAGAAGTATGGTTGTATTGTATTTAAAGAGGCGTGAATTTGTAGAATAGGTGGAATGTGAGGAATGAGTCAAATAAGACTCACAATGGCTTGTTTTCTACATTTAATCTACAACAAAACTACATATCATTTGAAAAATTAATATGAAAATACAGAATTTCAATGTTTCTACAAATTATCTACAAAATATCTACAAACTGGGTTGTAAACATATAAAATTTATTGGCTCTAATCCATACAAAATTTTGATTAAATTCAATTGGGTAAAATGTTAATTTGGGCTTTACAAGTTAAATTAGTCCATTTTATTATTTTCAGGCCCAAACTCCATTTCTTCTTCAAGGCCAGACTTATGCCATGTGACATGGCATATCCAGTCAAACTCCAGGCCAATAAGGTGACGACACGTGTTAAATGATGTGGCAATCCAAGTCAAAAAGTAAGAACCAACCACAAGTAGCCAAGTGGCTAAAATGACATGGGCCAATCAGAATCAAACAAGAGAGTTCTTATGTAGCTTGACTGTCCATCCTCTACAACTATAAATAGAGGGGTTACATAACTCTCAGAGGACATTCAGAGTTGGAGAAGAACACTCCGCAATTGGTGAGGGCATCCACAAACATAGAGATCAATCATCAAGTGCTTAGTTCTTCAACAAAGGAGTGATCAACGGAGTTCTTCCCGGAGATCAACCCGTAATAACAAAGTGCTGCTCGACGTTCTTGTCGATTAAATACATCACAAGGAGGTCTGCATCATCCTACATTCGAGAAAGACGCTTCTCAAGCCCTGAGTCACGGAGAATTTTAGAGAGGAGAATCAAGGGATACATAGAATTGTACTCACAAATATTTATCAATAAAATCTCTTTTTCTTTATATTATTTTTGTTGCAGTTTATTTTTCGTCTTACGAAAATTTGTTGCAAACAAATTTTGGCACGCCCAGTGGGACGAATTTTTCCCTTCATCTCTCCTTCTTGCAAGTTGAAAACTACAAACTTCAGATCTACTGCTACAATGGCCTTCTACAAATGTGATATTTCATGCAAAGATGCTACTGTTGCCGCATCCGCTCAGCTCAGTCATGTTGGCCCAATCACTCGAAGCAAGTTCAAGGCTAGTGGCTTGGATGGGTCCGAATACTTCGCCTCCTTGGAGATGGCAAAGAAAAGCAGATCTCATATGACGTTCGCAACCGCAATCTCTGGGGGAAACACCCCATTCTCGATGTTTGACAAACTTTCTCCAACAGCCTCAAACCTTGGCGGATTTGAGGATTTGGTGGATTCATCAGTTTCAACGAAAGTCAATGCCTTGATGACTGATGCAACTAACGTGGACGAAAAGTTTGCCATGATGGAACAGACTATAGAGGTCTTGAAGAAATCTGTTGAAGACAAAGACCTTCAAATCGCTCAACTACATGAACAAATTGGAGGCCTATGCACCTGGAGAGTCGAGCCATGTCCCTCCTCGTTCACCTGTCTTCACCTCCCAGAAAACAGCTGTTGAGGAATCATTTGCAAAGTTAAACATCCAAAAGGAAAAGCAATCTACTTCAGTTGCGGCGTTATCTGTCCAACAATTGCAAGACATGATAACAAACACCATCAGAGCTCAATATGGCGGACCATCACAAAGTTCGTTGTACTACTCTAAGCCTTATACTAAGAGGATTGATTTTTTAACCATGCCAACCAATTATCAACCACCAAAGCTGCATCAATTTGATGGCAAAGGGAACCCAAGGCAACATATTGCCCACTTTGTCGAGACTTGTAGCAATGCTGGAACACATGGTGACCTTTTGGTAAAAAAGTTTGTTCGTTCTCTAAAGGGGAACGCATTTGACTGGTATATTGACTTGGAGCCCGATTCCATTGATAGCTGGGAGCAACTTAAGAAGGAGTTCCTCAATCGTTTTTATAGTACCCGAAGAACTGTAAGCATGATAGAGTTGACGGGCACCAAGCAAAGGAAGGACGAGCCCGTGGTGGATTACATTAATCGTTGGAGGGCGTTAAGTTTGGACTGCAAAGATCGCCTTTCAGAAATATCTGCTGTGGAAATGTGCATTCAAGGAATGCACTGGGGCCTTTTGTACATCCTACAAGGGATCAAACCGCGAACTTTTGAAGAACTTGCAACACGAGCGCACGACATGGAGTTAAGCATCGCAAGTCATGGAAAGACATCTCCATTTGCTGATCGAAAGGAGTTCAAGAAAAATGTTGCATCAAAAAACCAAACCAAAAAATCAATGGCGGTGAAAGCAACTTCTGTGAAGGTCACCACTAAGCAAAAAGTGAAGGAGGATAAGACCCCGAATCAATATCCCAAAGAGGAGAAGCGTCGTCCCACCTTGAAGGAATTAGAGGCGAAGGTTTATCCATTTCCAGATTCAGACGTACCCACCATCCTTGATGAACTGCTGGGCAAGAAAGTCATCGATCTCCCTGAATCAAAAAGGCTAGAGGAAATTGGCAAAGTTGGCGATCCAAAATACTGCAAGTTTCATCGCGTAGTTAGCCACCCTACAGAGAAATGCTTCGTCTTAAAGGAGAAAATTATGGCTCTTGTAAGTGAAGGAAAAATCATCATAGACATGGATGAAACAGCAGAAGCAAACCATGCAAGTATCGCGCTCAAGGAAAAGAAGTGTTCAAAGTTGCATAACGTGTCAAGCACTGCCTTCTTACAATTTGGAAGTTTCGAGCCCGTTGAAGTTGTTCTTCCAAGGAAAACTCTTGAAGGTTCACTAGAGCTAGACAATCACTCCAAAGACAAAGACGATGAGGGTTGGATTCTAGTCACTCACAAGAAGCGAAAACATCAGGCAGTTTTGAGGCTACCACTTCCTAAGCCAAGAGCAAAAATAAGCGATGTGGATAGGCTACAACCACCAAGAATTATCAAATCTTCTAACAGTGCCTTATCCCCGAAGTTCCGAAAGCCCATCACATTGCATGAATTCTTTCCTGGAAAATTCTTTCATGGAAGTCACGTTGGTGCAACTCATGTAGTTTCTAGTACTGACAAAACAACGGAAAACAACGATGAGCCTGCTCCAATGAAAACACAAGAAAATTATGATAACGGAAAAGTTGTTGTGCAACAATTTCATTCACAGATGATGACTTGCTGCTGGGGTCTAAGCCACATAACAGACCTTTGTTTGTTGTAGGGTCCATTCGGGAACAACATCTCAATCGCATACTTGTTGATGATGGTTCGACTGTCAACATCATGCCAAAGATGGTGCTAAAAAAGCTTGGGATCTCTATCGATGAGCTATCCAAAAGTAACCTAACAATCCAAGGTTTCAACCAAGGAGGACAACGAGCCATAGGTA